GTGTGTGTGTGTGTGTGTGTGTGTGTGTGTGTGTGTGTGTGTGTGCATGGGTGAATGTATGTAGTGTGAAGCACTTTGAGTGTCCTGGATGGATAGAAAGGTGCTATATAAGTACAGTCCATTTACCATTTACCAACCTCCCCGGTAAGATCTTTTCAGGGGTACTGGAGAAGAGAGTCCGATCAATAGGTGGACCTCTTATTCTGGTGGAACAATGCAGGCAGGATGGATGGATCGTTTGAAATGTAAACTTTTATGCCCTACAGTTCATTCTTGGGTTGTATTTTAAGCCTCCGACTGCTAATTTTTTTGTAATTTAGAACCTTTGTCAAGGCTTTAACGTCCTGTTAGTGTAACATTTGTTGTTGTTTTTTTAATTTTTTTGCTTCAGTGCGACAACTCTTTTGTAACCACCAACTGAGAATTGTGATATAAACTCTTGAGGAGAATAAATTGTGATTCACGATTTAGTAAGGACCTTTATGCCCTGATCTGAACTGTTTGGAAAATGGCTCATATTTTCTATTTTCTATTGCTATTATATCATAATTTCTTTGCTTTGCTGTTAATGACTGGAACAATGCAGCAGAAAGAGGTTTCATTAATATTATGTGAGATGTGCCATAATAATGCTCATTAGAGTGTTTCCTTATTGTTACACAGCTGCTTAATTAGATTTTTTATTTCCACTCCATAATAAGAACAAGGCAGCCAGTGCTAATGATGCATGTAGTGTATTTGTTATAACAAGATGAGACAAGAAGTGTCTCTTGAAAAAAGGTTAAACATTAAACAAAAACCAAAACAAACTAATTTCCAGTGAATTATCAACTAAAAACCTATTCTCCTCTGCAACAATAGATTTTAGTACAACGGCTCATACAGTCACAGACAAATTTGTTTCTAACCTTTCAATAAAGGAAGAAAAACCACTGACAAAAAATATTAAGAATACACTAATAAAAATCAGTCATTGCTTTGAATTCTGGTTCAACAACATAAAAGATAAATTGATATAAAGAATGATACCTTTACATTTGATTTAATATTTTGTTTTGCAAACTTTTGAGGCAATCAAGCAGTTTTTGCTGCTATAAGATTTCCACAGTTGTCCACGGGTACTTTGGTCCACTCCTCATGAACAAACTGCTCCAGCTGTCTCTGGTTTGAAGCGTTTCTTCTCCAGATGATTCAGCTCCTTCCACATATGTTTAACAGGATTTAGATCAGAGCTCAGAAGGTCAATTCAAAATAATTCAATGTTAAATTCTTAGTTATTTTTGAGTGTCTTCAGTTGTGTTTTGGGTCATCATGCTGTTCAGGTTGGATTTGTGACCGAGTTGGTCTCAGTCTAGAGCCCTGTATTTACCCAGTGTGTTTACTCAGTTTCTTCCCCAAGAAACTCACTTCAGTCAAATCCCTACAAAAATCTGTCAAATTATTTGCTACAGTCAGAGCTTTTAAATGTCTTTTTAGTTGTTTTTATTTTCTGAAAACACATCATACAGGCAATATTAGAAAGTTTCACAACATTATCTGTTCCATTCAAGCCACCGTGTAGTCCAGGGACGATGCTGTAGTCAGCACTCAATACCAACTTGTCTCAGTGGCACCACTGTGTCTCTGACACGAGTGCTGAGAAGACACAGGCAGGGAGGGCTTCAAGACAGAGACAGACACAGTGAAAATCAATGAAAACTGTCAATGAATGTCTGAGTCACATTATCCTTGTAAAACAAAGTTACGATTTTCATGGAAACTGATGCTCTTCAAAACTTTTCCTTTKGAGGCTGTTTAAGGGACAAGAGGACTGCACAGTGGTGTGGCAGTTAACATAAACCCCAGCTCAGGCCTTTCTGTGGGAACTTTGTGCTACCTGTTCAAGTTCTTTACTGATTCTAAGGTGGCCTACAGTCGGTGTATCTTTGGGCTGCTGCCGTCACACACTGACAGCTGAACTGTGTCTCAGAATGTCTCCATGTTTGCAGGGTTCTCCGTTTCCTTGCACGAGCCGTGCTGTTGCTTGAATCTTGAACATGTTCAAAACGTTAGTTTGATGCATTGTCTGTCTTTAGCCTCTTAACTAGTTGCCGACCCTTCGCAATGCAATGTCAATGCTATTAGAAAATTATCCAAATCTGCTCATCTGTATTTCCAAAGTTTGCTTCAATAAATTGAATAATTTCTTGTCATCAGCACAACGGCTTACTGGTTAGCGCTGATGCCTCACAGAGCAAGAAAGTCCCGGGTTCAATCTTCCAGTTTGGACCTGGGGTCTTTTTGTGTGAAGTTTGCATGTTCTTGTGTTTGTGCAAGTTTTCTCCTGGGACCCCAGTTTCCTCCTACAGCTCAAAAACATGCATGTTAAGGCTGCTTTCAGGCCCAGGGCTCCCTTAAAAACAGATCTGTGATCTCTCTTTTTGTGATCTCAGTGGGATTTGCCTGGTTTTATAAAAATAATAATAATTATAGTCGTGGGGGCTGGTGCCAAGCTGGGTACGATGTGAGAGGAGGTGGGTTTAACAAATAAAAATTATAATGCCAATATAAGTTAGCCTTTGCTTGGTTTATGCATGTCTCTGATCTGAAGCTTGTTGAAACCCCTGAATTTCACATGAAAAACCTGAAGGACAACTTCACCATATTTATTTACAAACAGGTCACCATAACTCCAGTTAAACTTGGACTCTCTTTGGTAACCGCTTTATGCAAAAGGACCATAGATTATCTAAACATGATAGTGTATTTTAATGACAACTTTTCTCTTTGCTTCCCAGTGTATAAACACTATAAACTCATGCATGCACTCACTCTCTTTCACAGTAAAAAAAAATGTTTATATGCTCTCTCTCTCTCAGGTATAAGCATTTTCTACAAGACCTGACTGGAAACACGAGTCCAGAAAGTCCAGAGTTTGAGAAGCTTTCAAGTAAGTCTCATTTTGCTGCATTTCAAGAAAAACATTTATTTTAGTTTATTTTATTATATACATGTCTCATTCTGCTGCTCATTCATTCATACTCAACAACAAATACAATGTAAAAATGAGGGAAAAATAGTGCAAGTTATATGACGACCAAAAACATACACATTCAATCAATGTAAGATACAACAGGAAAAAGGCATAAATGAAAAATGAAACATCATTACACAGCAGAAGAATCGATGAAGAAAAACATGTCGAAATTAAAAAAAAAGTCCAAAACTCAGACAAGGTATCACAACACAAGTTCTGCCCTCCTCAAATATGATAGTATTAGCCGAGTATGTGCCCTCAGAATCTTATCTTGGATAATGTGTTAACTTAATAACAACTAGTTGTCAATAAATGAACCTTAAGTAAAGCAAATTAGGACAAGGTGAGTTGAAGAAATGCTGAAGGCTTTTACTTCTAGCAAAGCGATTAGACAAGTTCAAAAGCAAATGATAAATGAAAGGCAACAAAACTTCATGAATAAATGTGGAATTGTCATTAAAATGTGCAAAACTGAGTTTCCACCCCATTCAGGTAAACTTTATTCCGCCCCAAACAATCCAAAATCATAAAAACAAAAATCAAACTCTAAAAATACCAGAGCAGACTGAGTAAACTCTGCAAGCCCAGAAAAGTAAGCAGGTAAAAAAAAACAAAAAGAAAAAAACAAAATGAAAGTTTCAAAATCACTTTAGTCAAAAACCACAGAACCCATAAGGCATGAACTCAAATGTATGGATTACTGGAATGAGCTGGCTTGTGCAGAAAGTCGACGTCGTTCAAAGCGCCTCCTTCTGTTCTCTGATTGGCCCAGGTAAAATAAACTACAAGCAGACACTGCGCAGAAAATTGACGTTCTGTTCTCTGATTGGTTCGGCTAAAAATCTGCCAGCAAAATCCATCTCAATGGGAGAAGTCCCAGACGGAGCAGTGAAGGGAAACTAGAATTGAGCGGAACTACGTAGGAAGGCAAGGGCCAGGCTAGCATAAAAGTGAAATGAAATTCCGTGCCTTCTAAAAATGTACCCAAGTGGAAGCAAATAAAGACAAAAAAGGAGGGGTCCTAAGACTGAACCCTGTGGGATCTCAACAAAGAGGGTGATGGGAAGATGGAAGGTGTCCTTTGATGAGCTAATGAATAGAGAATGAAATGGAAAGCACAGTAGAGGTCATAAAACTGAACCAGGAAGTGGGAAAGGTTAGTAAGGATGAAGGCAGTTGGACTTGATGACACCAGTGGAGGTATGGAAAATATCTAGGAGAGATGGTAGTGAGGTATTTAATTCCATTATTCAATGAAGAACGGAGAAGTGCGCTGGTGCCAGTTTGGAACAATGGTGCTGTACAGAGCTGTATCAACTACAGGAATTTAAATTGAGGAGCCGGATGATGAAGATCCCCAAGAGTTGTTGAAGACTTGGACAAGAGGGGACAGTTTGTGACCACAGACACCATCTTTGCTTTGAGGATGATGATGATGAAATACAGAGGGGGTCAGAAAAAACTCCATTGTGGATTTAGAGAAAGCGGATAACAAGAGGAGCTGTGGTGTTGTATGAGGACATCTGTAATGGCAGACAAATAGTAAATGGCCTGAACTTATCTAGTGCTTTATTAAGTCCAAGGACTCCAAAGTGCTTCACACTGCAGCCTTTCACCTATTCATACACACTGATTGTGGTAAGCATTGTAGCATGTCCAGAGGAGGGACAGTGGGTGCTTTGTTAGAAGGATGTTAGAGAAGCAGCTGCCAAGAAAAAGACAAAAAGGAGACGTATAGATGCAGTTAGAGGAGGTAGTTGGAGTGAGGACAGAGGATGAAGAGGACAGAGTAAGATAGAGGAAGATGACTTGCTGTGGTAACCAATGAAGAGTGAACCAGCAGAAAGAAAAACGACAACAAAAAATTAATTTACCATATAACAACATGACATTTTAAACTTGTAGTCTAAAAACTGAACATTTTTATTCTTCCACTGTCTAAGGTAGAATCAGATTCTTATATTAGAAAAGCTCAAACTGGTTATTTGTGACAAAATATTTAAAATGAGCTTTTTCACTATTTTATTGAAATATTACTTTGGTTCTTAAACAATGAAGTAACATCTGAATTTGAAATTATGGCTTTATTTTAAACATGCACAAGCAATACCTTAAAAGTGCATGTGAACTCATATTTATACTAATGTGTGAAAAGTAATTGGAAGCAACATAAGCCTATTTAATCCCACAACGTCTTCCCTGTTCAGTAATTGTTATTCATAATTCATCCTTATATTTTACATAAATATGTAGGTTTGTAATGGCACAGGAAAAGAAAAACATATCTTACTTTCACAGAGACATTTAAATATTGTAAAATAAATGAAGTTTAGAGTGTGAGAAGTCTGTTTGTTCACAACACATTGTATATAGCATTTTTAGGACTGAAAAGCTTCTTGAAAATATTTTGTGGGCTTTATTTGACATTTCATGTTTTTTATATATTCCATATTTACACCAGAAAATCTCTCCTCACCAGATGTAACTCCTACTAAATGTGTTTGTCTATTTATTTGAACCAATGACTTGCTGTTTATTTTTATTATTAAATCACATATATTTGGCTTTTGCATTGACTTCCATTTATGTACTGATCATTTCTATAGCCTGACCCTGAACCCTAAACCCAACTACCTGACCCTAAACCTAACCTAAACTCAAATCACACCTAACCCTTGACCCACAAACATATTTTCCCCAATGGGGATTGGGCTTTTCCCCCCCAATAAGAATAGTGGGTCCTCACCAGGCTGTGTACCAGGAAAATGATCAAAGATCATCCCCACCAGGTACCAAAATCATGTAGAAACCAACCCCCCCAACACACACACACACACACACACACACACACACACACNCACACACACACACACACACACACACACACACACACACACACACACACACACACCTGCCTGAGTTACTTCAGGCAGCAGTCAGGTATTTTTTAGAGCTGACCACATGCAATCTTATCATTTAATTTATATTCAAAACAGATTTATAAAACAAATGTGAACAGAGCTTTAGCTGCTGTTTTGCTAGGTTTAGCTTTTGGCTACTGTTTGGCTGCTTTAACTCTTTAGATCAGGGTTATTCAACTAAATTGCTCCGGGGGCCATAATTACTGCAGGCCAACAGCTGAAGGGCCAAACATCTAGCAATTAAAAGTCATTATTTAAATAAAACAAGTATTACAAAGATCTGTTACCTTTCAATTACTTTACTTTGCTGCATTTAATCATTAATACAGCATATAGAACCCAATGTAATAAAAGAAGTGATATTAAAACAAAATCAAAAACAATTGACACAAATATTATTTTGACACACATTATTTGCCACATTTTTAAGCCAATTTTATTTTTATTTATCTTAATTTTATATTCTACTGCTTGTAATTTTAAGTGTCTTGGGTTTTCATTCAAATGGTTTTTACCAGCTTTTGGCCAAGATTGTTTCTGTATACCACACGTGTCTATGTTTAACTTAAAGAACTTATAGTAATTAAAGTAGAAAACCGAGGGTTTGGGCTTAAGAAACAATGAACTTAATGAACCAATTTGTGGGCCAGATTTTGGTCACCGGTGGGCCTGATGTGGCCTGCGGGCCTCCGGTTGAATAGCCCTGCTTTAAATACTGTAATGCTGGTTTTGTCTTTCAGCCACTGTTCTCTTAATTTTTATTTTTTAATAATGGTTCTGATATTTTTACCTTTTAGCTTCTATTTTATGTTTTGTAATGATGTTTGTGTCACATAATTTAGGTCTACCTTAGGGTTAGGAGCATTTTTTTCCCTTTGAATTTCACCTGGAGAGGTCTATTAATAATGATAATGAGGTCAAATTCACACAGCATCAGGTTCAGACATCTCAAAAGGCAGGCCTTGTTATCTTTACGTTAGGATCTATGGAAGAAAGAAATCATTGTTTCATTCCTCATGTGTTGTAATGCTTAAAGCAGTGTTTGACTTACGAGCAAATGAAAGGAAGAGGAGGCTCAGTATGCATATACGTTCTAGCTTGATGTGAATTTTGACATAATTAATTGGGAGCGGATCAGAAGTTTTAAAGTAGGGTCCATATTAATAAATAAAATCCTCAGTATCAACACAAATCTTTATAATGACTCATTTCAGATGTCAAACAGAAAATCAGACTCAAGTGCAAATGCACACAAGGAATTATTTATGTGTATCAATTAAAATCTTATTGCTGGTGTGCTGATTTTGCTTACAAATTAAAACTGTAAGATGAATCTTACTGTGCCCTGCTTCTTCATTCCTCATCTCATTAGAGATTCCCTTTAAACTTCACTGCTTTTTGTTATATATATATATCAAAAATTTCCTATAGTCAGCTAGGTTGTACTGCCAAGAGTAGTATTAAAAAAGAAATGATACTGTAGCTGATTAGGGAAACTAGCAGAGAATCACAAGAGGCTTTGTTGTTTTGTTTTGTGTCGGTTTGCTTTTCTTTGTCTTCTCTGTTTTCCCTCAAGCATTGCCTCCTTCCTCATTGTGCTTTGAGGATGGATTTAATTGCTGTAATTGTGGAGCTTCAGGAGTTTTCACAGGCCTGGTTTTTGTGCGACGCTCTGAACTCATTTTGCTCTAATAGTAACCAAGTTTGACTTGACTGGAACCAACACTCAGCTGTGTGAAAATGCTCAGTCCTTGGCTGTGGTCAAATGCGTGGAAATAAAACGCTAATGAAAGAAGAACAAAGTGGAACGTATCTATTAGGTTGGATGGATTATTAAAGATTCAGCCAAAGAATATTGTAATTAGGAGTTGTTTTTCTAAAAAAAGCCATGGAAATTATTCAAAACACTTGTAACAAAGGAGAAAAGTCCCCATAGATGTATGCTATGGTTTAGGATTTAATTGTTTTGTAGTTAGGTGAGCTAATTAGACTGCAGTTATTTTAGTGTCGACAAGTTGCTTGGAGTTTCACGATGAAATCAAACAAGAATTTTTTTAGCACATAAATTAGAATGTTTCTGATTTTATTTAATTTCTTTAGAAGTTTAGTAACATAACATTCATTATAATTATTTGGAGGCACACAGTAAATTAATGTCTACTTTTATGAAGAGTCTGTTTGGAAACAAAGGTTTCAAAACTTTGTACAAGAATGTTGAAACTTAAGCTTTTCTGTTTATACAAGAAAAGATGCTAGAACTATTACGGTAATTAATTTTCTAGTAGACAAAAAAAGGAAAACCAAATAAAAAAAACATCTCCAAACCTTACAAACTTGAATTTGAAACATGGAGTGCCATTCCAGAAATCCTCTTTGGAAAAGAAAGGAGGCATCTTGAAGGCTTGGCTGTCCTCGGTCTCAGCAGTTGATGTCTCAAAGTCCTCTCGGCTTCTTCATCAGCAGTGAAAAATAAAAAAAAATCAAATGTTCTATTCTTATTCAAGATCAACCAATCACGTCACAGGCCTCACCAATTTATAAGAAAAATGTGATCAGAATTGGAAGTTGAAATAAGTTTGCAGAAAACCAGTTGGTTCTCTTCTAAAGATCTTCATTAAAAAAGACTCCATTCAGTCAGCTCACAGCCCATCAGCCAGGCAGGGCCTGAGAGTTTGAGACCTTGGGTCTTATCGGAAACAAAACAACAACAAATCCCAGCAGCCCAGCATCTGTCCCAGACTGAACTAAAAAGAATAATGCTGAATCGCCACAGTAAAGTCACATGTAAAGCCAACTTCCTGGTCACACCCCTGGGGGTGGTACCTTTTACGTCATACATTACAATTAAAACTTGTAATTACAAAAATTAAATGTAAAACAAGCTTTGTTTATGCAGACAGAAAGGCTCATACTGATAAGACACTGCCTCTGTTTAAAGCAAATGATCTTAAATTCAGTTACCGTATTTATTCAAGTACAGGTATACATAAAATTAAATCCATAAAATCATCCATAAAGTTGGGGGGGGGGGGGTAGTATTACACTCGGATAAATATTTTTTCTTATTTATTTTAACTGAAATATCTGCTTCATTCACAAAATGCCTGAGTCCTGAAATGAGACTGCGTCGTAAAAAGCAGTTGAAGCGAGCTTACCTCTGACACTCCTCCGTGCTTCAGTGCGAGATAATAACAGATCCAGGCAGGCGACATGATGTGAAAAAAAAAGGGGGTGGGGGTAGCAGTCCTGCACTTTAGTAATAATAATGAACTAATGACATTAGCGTGTGACCGGGCCGCTCCTCGAACAACAACAAACATGTTCGTCTGTAATGGCTGCCGTCTACCGGTGTTCTGAAAAAGTTTGTTTCCCTGAAAAAARGTTTCCCCACCAGAGGGGGCGCTCGTGAGTAGGAAGTAATCTGCTTTTCCCCCACAAGATGGTCCAAATCTCATGTGAAGTCTCTAACTTTTGTGTTGACGCATCCTGGTGGACTATGTGTAAAATGCCAGAATTCATATGATGCTGCTACAGCTGATATATARTTGTTGTCAAAATACCTTTTAGTACATATGTTGTTAAAATAAAATGAACAGTCCAATGATCATTTTACTGATATGTATAAAGACTGCAAAGGCTGAAAAATCTTGAAGTCTGGATGAAATTGGAAGTAGTTTGAGGATTAAATTTTTTATGCTTTTTAAGCTAAAAAAAAGGGGGGGGGTCGTATTATACATGAATAAATATGGTAATTATAAACAAAATTTCCTTCACATTCATAAAAAATACAAGTCAGAACACAGTACAGTGTACATATAAAAGCATCAAATGAAGTGTGTTGGTTTACAACTATACTATCTCTTCATTCAATGACTCACTTGATGTAAAGTCTTTAGCTGTTTGTGTTTTTTACTGTTAGTTTATACAGTAATGTACATACTGTAAATGGTGTACACTGTTACTCAACTGTTTTAATTAATCTCTTTGGAGTGGAGTGTAACACTCTGTGTAAAACATGTTTGTGTGTCCTCTGTAGGGGCTGCAGCAGCAGTATGTGAGGTGTCTGAACGTATCCAGGACAATGCTGAACGGCATGAGAACCACCTGCAGCTCTGCCGAGTACAGAAACTGCTGAAAGGGCGAAAGACAAAGGTGTTGGCTGCAGGTTAGTCTCTGATCATAAATTCCTTATATCTCCTTTACGAACTGCTCCGTTTTCTACAGTTCTTTCTCTGTATCTGTTGCTCAGACTCCGTTCAAAAAAACAAAGGGGGTGGGGAAAGAGAGAAACACTGCAAAACTAAAGGGAAATAAATTAAATATGGATATATTTCGAAGGTACAAATGCAGATATATGTTGGTCCCCTTGCAGCTCATTAAACTGATGCTTGCTTTCTCTTGTAAAGGGATTGCTAAAAGCCATTGTATAATGTATATCTGCATGCCTTTATGTGATAGCATAAACAACTTTTTTATTTTACAAAGATATGTTTAATTAGTACAGATATATTGGTGCCCATAAAGATAGTATTGTTGACCTTAATTAGTATCACAGGTGTCTTCAAGATGTTCATCAGCCTGTTTAAAGGGAACAAATGTATGATTGGTAGTTTGGTTTCATTTTGAGCACCACACTGAACATGAAGCAGAAAAAACAAAGGCCAGAGCTGTCTGAAGAGCTCAGAGAGACTATAGATATCTGTTAAAGGTGAAGGCTACACAACCATCTCAAAGCAGCTTAATGTTCCTCTGACAACAGTTAGTATTATTATTAAAACATAAAAGGTTTCTGGGACAACCTCCCAAAGTGTGGACACAGAAAATGCAACCCCAGGTTGATTGAAAAGTTCAGACGGTGAAAAAAAGAGTCAAGGAAACGATCCAAAACTCTTCAAGCTGAACTCCAAGATCAAGATTCTGATTGCATCATCTGTCACATTTTCAGGAGCATCATAGAAGAAATTAGAGGATGACTTAGTGAAGCCGTGTTCACTCAGCAGGTCTTAATGCTCAATTAGGCTTTAAAAATTTTTTTTGTATGTTTTTTTTTGCATGGACGCTCACATTATACAGTGATCCCTCTTTTTTTCTCAGGGGTTAAGTTCCAAAAACCAAGGCGAAATCCTTGAAGTAGAGTTACCTTTATTTTTTTTACAATTATTATGTACAACATACAACTAATGTACATTGAAACCAGGCCCAAGCATGTTTTTAAAAAATAGAACACTTTCTTACAGTAAAATAATCATTTTAATCATCAATGTGACGTAGGCCTACAGTAGGACAAATTGTGACTCACGTATTTTACTGTGCCTCTGACTGTGGTGCTGCAGCATGACTCTGCAGCAACCTCCCCCTCCCCCTCCACCACCTCGTCTCTCCTGTCGTCACTGTTAGCAAAGCTTTGATAAAGTATTTTATTATTAGTATTTCTGTACTTTGTGCAGACAACGTTGGTATCCAGCGTAATGTTCTTTTTTCTTCAGTCATTAATCCACAACGCTAACGCAGACTCCATCCTTATCATGGTCTTGTTGCGGACATTTGCAACCCTATTTGCATCCTCGTTAAAACTTATTTCTGCTGTCGTCCTTATGTTTTTTTTCTTCCTTCTTTATGGAACGAACCGAAGATTCTTTAATTTCTTAATGGCGACCTACGGCCGCATAGCTTTTACCTTCCTTTAGCATAGGGCTGGGCGGTATGACCTCAAATTCATATCACGGTATAAATTGAACCCCTTCACGGTAACTGTATACAGTATATCGCAGTAGAGAATTATCATAAAAATTTAAGATAATGTAATTTTTAGAGCATTTTTTTCTGAAAACTGTAATCTTAATTAAACCCAACGGTTTTGCTTTAATATCTGCCTGCCAAACAATGAGCTTCTGCCTGCTGAACTTATCAGCTGCTGCTCTGCTGCGCGCTTCATCATCTTCATCATCAGAGCAGAAGCCGACTTTACGTTAGCAAGATGGATTTATGACTGAACGAAAGTCCACATCTTTTTTTTTTTAAATAATATCTGTGGGTAACAATACATAAAAAACAAGTTTTTTTCCGACAACTGGGTGTGAAAACTGGGTGTGCTGTTGAAGCTTCGCTCTGCACGACGTGCAGCGAGAGGAGATGACAGAGCCCCTCTTTGAACTAGKCGACACATGTGACCGTGTGTCGGCTAGTTCAAAGAGTGTTGCAACTCTCTTTCTATAGGGCTCTGGGAGAGGAGAGGGAGGAGGAAATGATCCCACGACATGACGTACGTAACTTTTCTACAGTGGGAGGAGGAAATTTTGAGGGTTTATCMTCTCTATACGTGTTTTAAAACGCTAGAATTTCTTGATTATATTTCKAACTCCTGCTCAGRTGTCTCTGCACTCGCAGCCCTGTTGACACAGGTGCGATGACGTAATGACGATAGGACGGTAGAGTATAAATTTCTACCGTAGGCCAACTTCATACCATTTCTACCGTCTACCGCATATACCGCGCAGCCCTACTTTAGCATGTCCAAAAGTTTGACTTTTTCTGTGATAGTTAGCATCTTCCTCTGCCTTTTGGGCGCATCCGCAAGTGCCTTTGTCTCTGTGCCGAACGTTTTGTCGACYTAATGGGTTTTGGAGAAAATTTGCTAACTGAAATTTGCCAAGCTGTATTGCGTATAAATACCGTACATTATTGGCACACAGGWWGASWAGAAGCACGGAGACTGTTTAGCCAATCAGGACGTAGAACACAATGCACTTTAAAAAAAAATCCGTGAAGCWGTGAGACCGTGAATGGTGAACCGCGTTATAGTGAGGGATCACTGTATTTTAAATGTGACCTCCATCAGAKTCCAATGTGAACTCAGTGCTGAGTCGATTAAATATTTGTCTGACCTGCTTGTTTAGTTCACTGTTTACCTTTGAACCAGCCTCTTGCCGGCTGCTCCAGTGCAGCTTTTTATTTTTGGAACGGGAGCAATGTGCTGGAAGTAAAGTATTGATCCAGTAACTTTAGTATCGATACGGTCAGATGTTTCYATTAATATTTCTGTGGATTTTCAGTCATCCAGGKCATGGAAAATTAAAAGAGAACAGWTGCGGCAACTGTTCTATATCTGAAAACGTGCTTGAAGATTTAAACTTCACCAGGTTGGRATCAYTATTCTAAATACTATCGATCCGCTCAGCKCTGGACTGCAATCACTTTGAAAAACATCAGATACTGTTTGTATCTGATTCAGTACCACATACAGAAATGGTCTGGGTCAGATTTGGAAAGGAAAAAAAATAGTCAGATTCACACTCACCACATTCCCTGACCTGTCATGAAAAAATCCATTGTGTGTCACATAGGGTTAAAAAAAAATTTGGGTCTCATTTGTCTGCGGTGTGAACGTAGCCTGGGACAAAACAAAAAYGCCAAACTGAAGTTCACTAAAATACATGATGAAAAACTCCAAGCATTTTTGGGATTGGAAAAAAAAGCTTTCAAAGAAATAAAAACACCATACCTACTGTGAATTCAGTTTTGCTGTAGGCTTTCTACTGTKTCTGAAAGCTTCGCCTCAGTCACAGATAATGGGTCCTTCAATAGGATAATGACCTAAAACCTACATCTAAAAACACTCATGAATGGTTGAGAAAGAAACACTGGACTATTCTTAAATGACTCTTCTTGAGCCCAGATCTTAGTCCTATCAAACATCTGTGGAAAAATCTGAAAATTGGAGCGAGAAGACATCCTTCAAACCAGAGACAGCTGGAGAAGCTTGCTTGGGAACAATCGGCCAAACTACCAAGTTGGTAAAATGCAGACATCTTATTGTAAAATACAGAGATCACTTCCTGGCTGGGATTGCTGCCAAGATTTCTTTAGAGGTACTGTTGTTTTTGTCCCTGTCATTTTCATTGGCCTAGTTTTATAAAATATTCAATTAAATCAACAATCAAAGTGTGGTCGTGATAAATATGGATAATAAAGGATTAAGCGTTTGCATGAATCTGCTTTATTCAGTGGAAATGATTGGACTTTCTGCAGAAASTATTGCACATCTCACCAGTTCATGAGTTCAGGAAATGTGCCGGTACCTTCTACCTGCTCTCTTTTATTCATTTATTTCTCCTRCTCTGTTGTGTTTCTTTTGTACTTGGCGGAGTGGTGGCTCCTTTCTTCCTGCCACGCCCCCCCCTCCTTTTGTTTGTCTCTGGAGAATCTGACCTCATTGCTGCTCTGCTCGCCCTGCCAATCTCCCCAAGGACCAATTAAAGTCCAGCTTCATCTTGCAGACCAGAAGATAAAAAGGAAGCCAGTGTAACTCTGTGTGCACGAGCGTGTGTGTGTGTGTGTGTAAATTTATATGTGCATTATACTGAATGTGTGTTTGTTTTCTTGTATATGCAAGCTTGTTTTATGTGTGTGTGTATTTATGTAGGCTGAGAGTGAAAGATGAATAGCAGCTCATCTCTCTAATGCCAATGTGCAAAGTTTCAAAAGCTTTCTCTCATCCAAGTTCTCAAGCCCTCACAAGTCCACAGGCTCCCCTTTTTAGCCAATAAAGCTCAAGTCCCACCAGGGAAACTTCAGAGCTTCTGCGGCACTCTACACTCAGCAACCTCACGCCGACCCATTCTCCTTCCTTCCCACCATTACCACCTCTAATATGGGTGGGGGGGGACTCTGCCTTTTGCAGATCAGAAACACTGAAGCCCCTCTAACATATTAAGTAGCTCTGTAGGACAGGAAGGGGCAATGATGAGACACAAAGCACTAATGTGGATACAGCACACAGTCATACAGTTTCCATWGGAAAGTAATATTTGCAGAAGCTCTAGACAACACAAAGATACTTTATAAGCAGAATTCCTGCAGCAGCCTCCAAATTCCAAGGTTCCTATGTTTGGTTCGGTCCCAGTGGAATGGAGGTCGCCTTGCAATCGGACACTAATATTCTGCTTCCACTGCTTAACGTAGTGTCTGACTGGGCTGTTGGAGGCTAGCMAATGGCCACCCCTTCATTATACACTCAGCATTCAAAGGGAGTGTGTAGAATGTCTCAAAGCATTCAGTATGGTCTTTTTTCTCCTGTAAGTCGCTTAAATTTTGAATATGTTCAAAAATATRGTGCCAAAAATTTCCTCCCAACATGGTTGTAAAGTTGTTGTGAACGTCTCAAAGCTMTAATTTTGTTAAGTCTTAAACTTGTCTAAAGAAGCTCTTTATTAGAAATAACTGGTAAATGAATTGAAGTCAATGCAATGTCCCCATGAATATAGAAAAACAAGTATGTGTGTGTGCCCCCATGTTTTTGCTGCTTGGTGGAGACGATTTTTCAGGAAAATGCAGCCTCATGTGGGGACCAAAGCCTGGTCCCCACAACTTTGGAGGCTGATTTTGGGTGTTGGGTTTAGGACCAAGATGTGAATTGAGTTTAGGTTAGTTTTAGGGTCAGCTAGGTACCTGTGAGGTTAGCCTTAGGGTAAATGGTCAGGGTTAGGATATAAAACTATCAAAAAATGATTGGAAGTCAATGGAAAGTCCCCACAAGGATAGAGAAACGTGTGTGTCTGTGTGTACGGGTTTTTCCTACAAGGTGGAGTATTTTTTACAAAAAAAGCAGCCAGGTGGGGACCGAAGTGAATCATGGGGACCAATGT